CTCGTTCTGCCGCCCCTGTATATATATAAGTTATCGAAAATTGCATTTAAATTGAGGACATATTTTAGAAGCTGCCTAGCATGGAAATACATCTGGAAGCCAGAGTTGTTTCGTTTTGTCTTGTATATCACCTGAAACTTCAATTGATCTTCTCGCTGTGGGATTCAAGTCAAATTCACTGTCTGACTCGTAAATTCCACAGAAAGTCACGAAAATCATTCTCGTAATATTTAACGTGGAATTCCCTCGTCAGTCAATTAATTTTGCTTTATAATTCTGGACGATTAATAGAAAGTAGTTTAGAAACATTATGGTTGAGATATTTCAAAACAATTTCAAAAAAAGCTACATGGGCTGATCATATTATAATGCAAGCTCTGCTATAAATTTTAAAATTCATTTTGTAGGAATCCAATCTAGAAATAATCTGCCATAGAATCCGTAAATAGTTTAGGTCACATTTTCTACAACATTTTCTACAACAACACTGAACATTTACTCCGAATTTTATTCTTTTCATTTCGCTTTTTCTGTTTCTTCCGTTTTCATTTCTTATGTAACTCCTTTTATTATTGGTCTACAGCAGCTAATTAATTAAATATTAATAATAATGATAATAATAATAATGCTAATGATAATAATAATAATAATAATAATAATAATAATAATAATGAAGACTTAATTTCAGTATATCCCCTCTGTGGCTCTTTAACTGTAAACATCCTAGATAAATAAATCAGTCTTGCATGTTACAACTACACAGTAAGAAAATATGAAATTAAAGAATGCATGATATATTAAACTCTAGATATTAAATATATATGTTAAAATTTGCATGATAATATAAATGATAAGTATAAATGATAATATTATAAACATGCGGTAAATATTCTAAAGAATCTTAAGCGGGTTCATAAATTATTTACCAGCAAAGCTGCAGGTACTTTAGATACTTGTATTCATAGACTGCCTTTTACCCCCTCAAAAAGCAGGAAGTTAAAAGTGAATTGATGAAAGTTCCAGTCCGACAATACGTTCACTTTTGTAAATATTATTYTKATAGAACGGGATRAAATCATTAAAAATAAAWAAAWTTGTATTTTATTCAAACGTCATACTGTTAYCACACCAATGTACCTTCATACAGGAGAGCAACACTTTGAATATATCATTCTTGCTCTAACTCTCGACGARTAGACAGCTAATTTTAYAAACAAAGCCATGGARTTCCTCGTTCWWATTCTCCTGYTTGTTCTGTTGTRTAAAGTGGACCATATCACAAGTACCAACACACACGATGATCGTAACCCAGGATTGTTGTTTGATAACCATCCTGGTTACCTTCTGTCTTTACCCGCCAACATGACCAAAGTCAAACAAATAACTACCAAAGTCTCCAGCAAGAAGGATTGTGTGTTCGCTTGTGTTAGGACATCTTGGTGTCGTTTGGTCAATTTTAAGATCACAGCTGAGATGGACGGTCGTCACATATGTGAGCTACTGATAGCTACTGATAACTATAGGCAGTCATGAAAATGAGGCGACGCACGAGTTGAAGAGACAAAGAAAACATTCCACGCCATTTTGGAATCTTTCAAGATTATATTTGATGCCCTTCGCGAATCAAGGAGCCTTGGACTTACATCATTTACGTCAAGGATAAGTCTTTTAAGAATTATTTTGGTTTTGTTTACAATTTTGAATAGTTTCTTCAACGTTCTATCGTTCGTTCAATCAGTAGCGAGCCTGTTGTGCATGATGTTAGTTGCACAACATTTCCGAAGTATGTCAACTAAGAAACTGGTAGACTCTTTAGAAAATGACAGTGATGTATTCGAAAAAAGCTGTACAGTTATCTGTATTTGTTCATCACAATAAAGGATCACATTTATTAGAAGATTGTAGGTCTCGTTATGCCAATGATTCCCTACTCAAGCTCAGTATGTTGAGCACTAGCCTCGTGGTGTTGTTCCACGTGGTCGAGAACCAAGTAGAGTCCCTGTCAAACAACTCACACGTCTTTTGCACAAAAGCAGGAAAAATACGGAAAAGAGTTCGTAAGTATGTTTTCAAAAATGTACCCATGTCATCTAGAATGCTTTGCTTTGTCAATAAATGTAATTTTAATGACAGCAAAATCTACCAACGATCTACAGCAAAATCTACCAACGATCGAAAGGAAACAAACGGCTTCTGGTAATCCTTTACCCAGTCGAAGGAAATTATGGTCCAAGAAATTAACCCCTAAAAAAATTCAGCTTCACATAAAAGCAATAAATGCTGGTTAAGGTGGTTGTCAGCAAATATTGACAAATCCACGTTCACACAAACTATGCTTCCTGCAGTTTACCCCACAGAATCAATTACAATAAGTTTACCCTAAGCAGAGATGTCGAAAAAATTCTAGGACATACACAAGAATTGACCCTAACAAAACAATTTCTGCGCCATATTCTCAAGGAAACACTGCGTTATTTGGGCCAAATGCTGGTCGTCAATGCGGTGTAGCCATGTCACTGTGTGCATTGAGATATGCATGTAACCATAGGAGTGCAATGCAGCAGACCCCCCGGGGGGGACTCTCTTGAAAAGTGGGTAGGGGGCTCGACGGACGGTTTTAAAAATGACCCTAAAAGGTACGCAGAAATTAACTGAGATGCTGATTTCAGACCGTAAAAGATACGCGAAAGAAATAATATTTTTAAATGATGACGTTTCCAACCATTATATTTTTGTATGACGTTTGATATTTTTCAAAACGAACAAATCTGACCCTAAAAGGTACGGAGTCAACCGGAGACCCTAAAAGGTACGCGAGGTCTCATTTTGGACCCTAAAAGGTCCGTCGAGCCCCCTACTCACTTTTCAAGAGAGTCCACCCCCCTGGCAGCAGACTTAGTAAACACCAAGTTTTACTTGCTATGATTCCCAATATTTATCCTTGCAATATAATAAAAATGCTTATTCCTGGTCATAAGCCTATATAACGGAAGCCCGAGTTCACGCCTAAAGGTAGGGCTGTCCACAAGTTGCTCGGCAACTTTTGGGCAACTTTTCCGATTTCGAGCAACTTTTTCACTTTTGAGCAACTTTAAGCAACTTTTCATTTTCTAGCAACTTTCGTTCTTTTTTTAACTTTTACATGAATTTAAACAAATTATCACAACAAATAAGGACAAAAAGTGAGTTTTTTTTTTCTTTTTCAATACTTGTCTTTGCAATTTGTACACACTTTGTGAAGTTCTGGTCTTCCTGTGGTAAACTGCTATGCATGTGGACAGCGGTTGAAAAATCTAAAATGTAAACAAAATGGCGGAAGAAGCCACGTGCTCGAGTAATTCTGACACAGAACAAAGCCCATTAACAATAGCAGCTAATGCTGGAGCTAATTTGAGTGAGCCAACGAAAGCTAGCATTGCCCGAGGAAGGGAAGTGCAGAGCAATCCTGCAGAAAAGAAGAGAAATGTCCGCGGTACAGTGAAGTACAGTTGAAGCCTCTGTTATGCTTAGATACAACAGGAACAAAAGATAAAGCCTTTATACTTCTATTAAAGCTGACTATAACATGATTGACTATAAATTTGCTTATATATTGCTTATCTATCACATGATTGACTAAAACGTTTGTTATAGTACAGTATTTTTAACATGATTTATAAGTTTGTATAAATATTATATAGTATATTTAGTATTACCCTCAGTAAATATAGACAGTACTTACTTATTCAGTGGATTCTATGATATTAAGTCATCAAATTGATTGCAAATGTGAACTTTTTATTGAGCAGCTTTTGAGCAACTTTGAGATGTTTGAGCAACTTTTGAGCAACTTTTGGATTTTTTGAGCAACTTTTGAGTAACTTTTTGGACTTTTTGGGGCAACTTTTTGGACTTTTTGGAGCAACTTGTGGACAGCCCTACCTAAAGGCGTCTAGTTATTTATAAACTGGCTTTCTTCCAAAAATAACACTTTCCTCGTTGCTGTCCAACATACGGGATAGAGAAAGAGATGTAAATGAGCAAAATGGCCGAACCATTGTGCTTTAGGCCCCGTCCACACTATGCCGGATAAATTTGAATCCGAATTTTTATTTATTCGGTTCGGCCTACCGTCCACACTAGTCCGGACGAATCCGGAACAATTCTTCACCGAAAACGATTTTTTTCGAATACGGTCTCCAGAGTGGAACGATTTGAAAACGCCGGCTAGCCGTATTAGTGTGGACGGAGAACATTTCGAACCCGAAATTTTTCGAATACGATGACGTCATGATTGTCATGGGAACATGGCGGGAAGGCTGAAAATTAGTTTAAAGTGCCTATGACYCCTAACTCAATGTAAGTTTTCCTACCATGACAACACACTTAGTAGCATACTGGAAGTATAAACCTTGATATCTCCAAGATGCATCACTCAAATCGTATAATAATATTTTACTATTTAACTTTTAACTTCGCTGAAAACATTGAGTTAGGGGTCATAG